TTTTATTGCACTAAAATGAAAAAGCTTAAAAAAATACATAGATAAACAACTTTTTAGTCAATATATGTAGGCATAAATAATAATAATCAACTGAACTTCAAAAAACTCAATAATATTCAATATGATTTTCACTGTAAGATTCTTAATACACTGTTACAATAAATGATTCCACAGAATTCCATTGTTCAAAATAAAATATAAATAAGAGAGAATAGATTGATCAACGTTATTATAGAAAGGAACAATAAGGAAAAATTTTTTTCGAGCAATTGTTTTTTTTCCAATAACTTTTGATGAAAACTAGAGAGAGCTACGGTTTTTACCTTGTTTTTAAAAAAAATTGTTTAATATAAAAGTTGTACAGCTCCAATTTTTACGAGCGCACCAGGACCATTAACTGAAGATTTATGAGTTATGTCAGTCCGACGTCGAAAGGTTAAGCCAATCATGAGTTATACACATTTTACTGCATTTTATCGGCAGATTTTTCATAAAAAATTGACTTTCTTCTCATTCTTAAGGGAAAATGCACATCTAGAAGAATATTTCTGATAGAAACAAACCAAAAACGCCGACCACTAAGATCCATCGAAAAGTTGTATATCGACTGAGTCTAATCGGTAGGAGAAGCGTCAGCAAGCCAATAAAAATTGAAATATTTATATCTACATAAGCTCTGCGAAGCAATTTTTCCATACCAGTAAAAGATGTAGAAACAATCGGTTCTAGGGTAATATTCCTTTTGTAAGCGTACAGTAACATCATGTCAATCTTTGAGAGAAAAGTGATTGATTTAGTCTATTATTGGCCAATATCTTATTGTGCATTTGAAAAAAAATACAGAAGCAGTAGTTTCACATCTTTTCATAAGTGTTGATGAAAACATTCTTCTGGCATCCTTATTCAATTTTCACAAACATATACAGAGTAGATTAGATTGATTACTGTTTCTCTTTATTTAAAAATGAGAAATTTCTTTTAGCAAAACTCTCGGAATTATTTTCTTCATGTGAGTAATGATAAGTCTTCCAAAGAAAGCTGAACTAGTTAGAATCAAGATTGTAACGAGATGATGTACTCTCATCTGTGTCCATTTGAGTCGTTCGTCCAAGTTCACGTTGGACAGAACAGCAGAGTTTCATCCCATTTACCACACAGCGTTGTCGATGACTAGCTCGACAACAACCGCCACTCTGCCACCATGTAACACATTGTCCATTGACAGATGTATTTGTCATGAAGAGAAAGGCAAAAACTACGGCAAGAAGAATCAATTGAATTCGAGCCATAATATGTGAATGTATATGTATAAGAGTTAAACAGAAATAAACTTGTGTATGAGATGTACGAATGCTCATTCGCGTTTTTATATAACAAGTCATTTCCAATAGTTTCGCATTACGTTTGAGCAAACAAATACTGTCTCAGATTACTTTTTATGATCAATTTTTGTTTTCGCTTAATTTGTGTATTTGAGTCTAATGTTTTGTCTTTGTAGTTATCAATGGTTCCAGAACGATCTGAGGTAGAGGCCTGCGGGACAGTCCCAAATTCCCTCCCCCCTCCACAAAAAAATGTGTTTTGTTCTGTGTCTTGAACCATTTGGGATTGTCCTGAAACGTTTCTACAAGCAAAATTTGGAAGCCGAATGCTTTGAAAAAACCGGGACAAGACAAATAGAATTGAAAAGATGAAAAAAGTTTGACTCATAAGACTAAAGTGTTAGACTCGTACTAGATGGCATGAACTCCAGAGTTCCTGTTGACAGAATGATATAGCTGCTAAGACTTGGTGCATAGTACTTTTTGTATACCATACATATAAGATCTTTACCTAAAACTCTTATTCTTGACAGGTGAGAATGCTTAAAAGAAACATTTCGCAAATGAAACAACAGAGCTTTGTCAGTTGTTAAATCTAAAATGAGATGAATTCGATGCAAACTCATATGACATTACTTATTTACACGGGTGTTTCTACAAAATTTGTGTATTAATAAATTATGTGATGCATTCTTGTAAACATGACAAGTTATTTATTCAGTGTCAAGTAGCATTGCAATCATTTAAATCTTTCGAAATAAAATGATTACATGTCAAATCCTGTTTTCTTTTTGTTACTCTAAATTGCGATACGATAACTTTCACATACAAGGTTTGTTGATTAGGCTGAACAAATTTCGAGAAATGTTTTGATTCGCTTCCAATTACGAAAATTCAACTTTAGTATCAACAAATCCTGGAAGACTCTAAAGGAGCTGAAGGTGACGGCGTAGCTATGGGCCAATAACGTCAATGATAATTCATATTATACCTGGGTTCGTTTTCATTTTCTAACATTTCCAACAGTGTGTAATATTAATTCTTGAAGAACTATAAGACTCGTAATATAATGTTAAGAGAAAGGATACTACAGAACTTCATTGTTGGATATAAAATAGAAAAGAGAGAGAAAATAGATTCATCACCGTTATTATAGTGCAGGCAAAATAAGGAAAAACTTTTTCCAGAACTTAATACTTCGTTGGATTTACGCAATCACGATGAGTATTGGGTATGGAATTAGTACCTGCATACACTCCAGTGCGGTCGATTAATAAATCTATCAGTCTAGTTTTCAATTTTCTTTTGTATTTGAAAAAGATTCAATTAGTACTGCACTTGTTTCTCATTTTTCTACACTATAGATTATATAAAGGGTGCCAAATAAGTTTTCATCTTCTTCAAGTAATAGCCTTTTCTTATATGATTTTTCGGTAGAAAAGGCTAATATTTGCCGCATATACAGTAGACACCTAGATCCACTCTATGGTAGAATTTCAGCTTTCTATCTCTTATATTCATAGAGATACAAGTAACTCAAAATTGATAGGAATTTTTTGAAATAGTAATTCCCAGGTGATTCGATCCGACTGTCGGATTACGTCGGATTATATCGGATTATATCGGAAAAATTATCGGATTTTAACGGATCCGACAGGAACTCGTCGGAAGTTGTCGGCGTCCTAGCCACAGGATTCCGACAGGAGGTTCCGGATGTCGGAATAATCAGGATCCTGCGAAATCCCTGAAACTCCGACACTTTCCGACATCCAGAACCACTTGTCGGAATCCTGTGGTTAGGATTCCGACAAATTCCGGCGAATTTCTATCGGATTCGACAGGGTGAATTCGGCCTGGGAAACGGATGGGCCAGAATAAATGACTGCGTTTTGTATTTCATTTTCTTATCATCTAATGAGTTGTATTAAAAAACAGAATATACCACAAGATGCAGCGTGAAAAGCTCTATAATCTACATAGTAAAGCTTATTTTAATTGTGTACCTTTTGTTTTAAAAAAATGTGAGACCAATTTTCGATGCTACGGAAAATGGTCGCGTTTTTATTTGAAAATAAAAGATACACAGTTAAGATAAGTTTTTACTATGTAGATTGTAGAGCTTTTCACACTGTATCTTGTGGTATATTCTGTTTTTTTTTAAGAAAAAGTATTAGATAATAAAAAGATGAAATAAGGAAAAAGGACTTTGTTCAGGTAGAAAAAAAGTGATCTTTGAGCATCATCGAAATCGGTCTCATAGAGTATTCATTTTTTTTTGAAAACAAAAGGTACGCAATTAAAATAAGCTTTACTATGTAGATTATAGAGTTTTTCATGCTTCATCTTATGGTATGTTTTATTTTTGAATGCAACTCATGAGATAATAAGAAAATGAAATACAAAACACTGTCACTCATTCTGGCCCATCCTTTTTTTCTAAAAAAATTCCAATGAATGTTAAGTTACTTGTATCTCTATGAATATAAGAGATAGAAAACTGAAATTCTACCATAGAGTAGATCTAAATGTCTACTATATATACTGTGAATATTAGCCTTTTCTACCGAAAAATCATATAAGAAAGGGCTATTACTTGAAGGGGATGAAAACTTATGTGACACCCTTTATTTGAAGTAATTGCAACTGTCAATTCTACTCAGATTTTCATATAACCTTTAAGCGTTTTTGATTATCTGATGCTGCTGTCATACTTGACGAACAATAATCAAAAAATGGAGGAACTACTTAGAATTAGCTGAAAACTCTAATTTTACTACCAGTTTCGACTGATTTCACCACTTTTTATTCATTTTTTGTCAAGTACAACGAGCGCATCAGATCAAGCGACTAAAACTGGTTAAGTTACACTTGAGGATTTGACCAGATTTGAGAGATCTACGTACCGAATATATGTAATCTTTAGTGTAAAAAAGATCAGAAATCAATGTTTCCCTGCATTCAATATTCTTTTCTGTCCTAATTACATGATTTTGGTTATATTCAACATGACTGTTACCGATTGTAGATCTAGTATATTATCACTTCGCTCTTTCGCTCGTCAGAAACTTTGACAAGAAACTATGTCAAATGGATACTTTCATTGTGTATGTTAACTTCAACTAGTTATTAAATAAACTAATAATCTATTATTTGGAAATTTTTATATACATTTCCGTAGATATTTTATTTATTGTATCTCATCTTCGTTTCACATACGTAAAAATAGGAAAAAAAAAGAAAACTGAACTCTTAGTGTTTGCTGTAAAGAAGACAACCCTCATACACACATTGTAGAATGAAAAAATAGATGTAAAACAAACAAACAGGGAACAGAAGATATGTGTAAGATTCAAAGAAGTGGTATGAGGAAAAGAATAGTTTTAACAATTGAAAAAAAAAAACAAATAGAAAAAAAAAAAAAGAACGATGTATATATAACAGACAGTACATACTCACACACATACATATGATCATTCGCCAACAAAGAAAGTATATCAATTGTAATAACAATGAAAACAAAAAAAAAAACATTTTTTTTTATTTTAAACGAAATTATCTGGTGGAAGAAAAAAAAAAGAAACGAAAGAGTTCATGATATATGTATATAAACAATAATGGCACGTTATTTGAGATTGAACAAGGAGACATGACGATTATTATTATTATTGTGATTTTGATTTAGAAAAAGCCAAGTGGTTTTTTAATATTTGTTTGTTTCCAATATGGTAAAGCATAAAATTCATCTTTAGTCATATGAAATTCTTTCTAAAAAAAAGTATCGGAAAAAGGAAAATATAGCTTAAAAAACCAAAAAAAAAAGAAAATAATCATACCTGAAAATCATCATCCGAAAGATAAAATTCAATTTTTGATGGATCAACACCTTTAAAAATAAAAGTTTATTTTTCTTTAGTGCAATAAAAATTTTGAAATTTATACCTTCTGGTAATGGACGAGCTCGAAGTTCTTCAATAGTATACTGTTCACGACATAAATTTGCAAGTATATCAGAAACTGAATCTTTTTGATCTAATTTTTTGCCTTCCTAAAAAAAAAGAACAAAAAAAGGTTTCATACATACATTAGCAAATTTGATATGAAATAAAAGAAACGAACCAATTGGTTTTGTTGTCGAGCTTTCATATGAATCGTCCATTTTGGAAATAAATTAATAAAATCAATAGGTTCTAAACCAGCATATACTATTGAACAAAATAAATCAACAGTTGCTGAACCGGTTTTTACTAAAAGTAAGAAGAAAAAAGAACAATTTTTCATGAAAATAAAACTTTAAAAAAACAAAAAAGAATTTTACCTTTACAATATTCAACAGCTGTAAGAAAAGCACAACGACGTTCAGCTGCAAAACGTAAATCTCTTGGACTACCAGCTTGTATATTTGCATTATAAAGTTGTAAATCAAGTTCATCATCAGATAAATCATTCCATCCTTGCCATATATATAACTCTGTATCAGTATCAATTAAACATAGGGCTGGTTGTTGAAGTTCATACAAATCTGCTTGAGTAAATGGAAATGCTGATATATGATCAGGTGATCGAAGAGGATAAACAAGTTCTTGAGCAACAAAAGGACCATGAAGACTTGATAAATGAAATATACGCATAGTTGCAGTTAATTTTTGATTTGATCGAACTATGAAAAAAAAAACAACAAGAACAAGCAATATAAAAATGGCCAAAAATAGCACTACAATGAAAAAAAACTTGAAATGTCTTCGTATTGGTTCAATCAGTATTCATTTAGAAAAAGGTGATTTATCAGCTGAAGGACTTTCCTCATAAGTTTTTTCTTAATAGTTGGAGTTTATTGCAAGTTTGTTTTTTTTCTTTTTATACAGATAAACAATTCGATCTGTAATTCAAAGAAGAAAAGTATATGTATAGCGTCTCATAGATTATTTTTTTGATCTGATCCAACAGAATAATAACCAGAATTCAAAACAAATTTTATGAATAATTTCTTGTTAAAATATGTTCACAGTTATAAAATTTCGATTTTTCAATCATGAAGCACTAGTTTTTTCAAAAGAAATTGGTATTTTTGGCGTTTCAATTATTACAATTGTATGTTTTACTTATGAAGCACAAAATTTTAGCATTTAAACTGACTAATTTTGAACAATCACTTTTAGTTCATAGTTCTATTTATGATTCGACTTGTAGATTCCAAAGTTTTCGAATTAATAAAGAATATACTCATACAAATATTTTATATAAACTTATTGAAATATTACCATTTAATAAAGAATAATATTTTCTTTCATGTGTTGATTCATTGATTGCATTCCAAAATAAATCTATTTCATTGCCTTCTTGTATTTCATGAAATTCAATATCTTCACGTTCACCATGGAAATGAAATTCTTCTGGACATCTAAAATAGATTATTAAAACATTTAATAAAAAATAACAAATCTTTCTATAATGATATAAAATATACTTTTCACGTAATTTCATAGCCGATTTATTTGCTAATAATCGTTTTTCATCTGTTGTTCCACATCCATGCCAAAGTAACATAATATTTTTTATATTATTAATTAATAAAAATGATGTTCGACTACGTAAATTTGTATTATCAACATTTAATTCCCACCAATGATTTTCAACTTCAATTTCACCAAGAAATACATAAAGATGCCAATGTGATTTTTTTTCTTTTACTTGATTACGTTTACCCATATGTATTGTAAGTGTACCATCAAATAATTGTAAAAATGTTGCTTCTTCATGTTCTTGAATAACATGAATCTATAAATAAATATTTTAAAAATCAATTCGATATATTATCTTATTAATATATAATTAAATTCTTACATGTGGTCCTTTTTCTTCATCCAAAAAAACTGTCATTAATGCTGAAATACCTTTTTCATTAGGACTTGCATTAATACCTTGCCATATCCAATAAGCAACACGATCACGACCTGTATCTGTCTTTCGTACAGATGCTTTACCTGTTGTTATTGAATGAAAACCTATTTTAAATCAATAGAATATATTAAACAAATAACTTTTTTTTCTTTTGTCTTTTATTTATTACCTGATGCAACTAATTTATATCGCCATCGAATAATATAAACATCATCTGAATGAAATTGTCCATAACTTGACTTTACTACTTCATAACGTTCATTATCACTAACATGCCAAACATTTAATGATATTGTTTGAACATCATGACCACGTAATTCAATTGGATCATACCTGTACAAAAAAAGAAAAAAACAATTTCAATTATTCTTTTTTAAATAACATTAAAAAAAAGAAGAAGAATACAAACCAATGTTTTCCTCGACCTAAATTTGCTTGTTCAAGTACCATATTTACTGGATTATCTTGTTTCATAAGCATTTTATTTACATCTGCTGGTTTAAGCATTTCAACAATTGATGGTGGCTAAAAAAAAATTTAATAATATAAAACAAAAAATATTCTTTTATTAATAATAAGAAAATATACTCGTCTTGCTGATGGTATTCGATTAACACTATTAGCAGCATCATTAACCGGTTTAAGTTCTTTAAGATCACCAGGCCAATCATAAAATTTACCTTTAAATAATAATGTTTCAACATATTGATTTTGTTTTCCAAATATACACCATGTTGGTCGTTTAGTTCCTTTTGGACTTATAAGCTCATTTTTATCTAAATAACAAAGACTTATTTCAATTTTTCGCTTTATAATATGGTAATAATTTCATTCGTTAGCGACATAATTTTGCCAAATAAAAATGTACATATATTTAGATTTCGAAATTTCTTTTAGTTAGTAGTTGTATCACAGATTTATGTTAAATTATTCGACATATTCTGAACAAATTCAATCTCATAGACTTCTCATTCTATGCATTTTTGTTTACAAAAAATTCAAATAGTACTTTTGAAAATAAGGGTGAATGTTTTGTAGAGAACTTCTCAAGCTACAAAATGTCTACGCAAAGTTATTCTTGAACATGCTTAGATTTTTCGTAAATTTGAGTTTATTCGTTGTTAGCGCTGTGAGTGAATACAAATATAGAAAAGCAAAATCTTCTTCTAACTAAAATGATAAGTTCAAAGAATAATTCTAAATAGTACAAGTCCTTAGCGAAGATCTTAAAATGATAGTAAAACAAAAAAAAAGTCTCGCTCTAGAACCCTAAGCATTATTATAAAACTCTTAAATTTATTCATCATAAATTTAGATAATTATTTGTTAATTACATTTTAATTAATTATGCATAAACTGAAAGAATTTTCTCTTACCATCAAGTGGATCAAATGGATTAATTAAACATTCTGAAAAATCAAATGAATCATTCCATAATTGTTGTGCTAATTGTAAACCCATATTACGTTTAATTTTATCAGCATATTTACCATTCCATATATATACTTCTGAACCAAAATCAAAAACAAATATATCATTTGAATCAAGAATTTTAATTGATAATGAACGAAAACAAAAATCATCTAATGGTATAAGCATATCATTATCTAAACGATAAACACGATTTAATTCCATTATATTAGCTTCATAAAAATCATCATCGATAACATTATCAATTGTTTTAAAATCATCATGATGACCATGTAAAATATCAGAAAATTCAGCATGTATATCATTTTCTGTATCATCATGTGCTTGATCTAATACAAAATATTTAACTTCACTACGCAAACCAAAATCTCGATGTTGTTTTAAATAATCTATAATATCCATTGTTTTAGCTTTTTCTAATGCATTTGAATATCGACCAAGCCAAGCAAATACTTTTGATGGTGTTATTAATAAATAACAATCACCTTCATTAATTGATTCATATATTGGATTAATAAGACGTAATGAACAATGACGACGTCCTTTTATTAATATTAACATTAATTCTTTATATGGTTCAAAACCAAATGTTGCGACGGATGAACGATCAATTTTACGTAAATTAATTTCAGCAAAATTTTCTGTTGCTGCTAAAGCAGCTAAAGCTTCTTGAGCAAGACCAGCATTTTCAGCAACTAAGATGTAAAAAAAAAAAGAAATACATTGAACTTTCGAATGAATAGAAGTTTTAGAAAGAAATTTATTAATTTTAAGCATTAAGATAATTAATTGCTTACTACTAAAATATTTTCGAACTATTTATATTGTTAAACAAGAAGAATAATAAGATATGATTTATTGTTATAAGTAAACATTTTATTCATAAGCGTACAAAAAATGAATATTCTATTAAATTATAATCTACATATAACAAACATTTAGCATTCTTCTAAATTATTTTTCTTTGTAACTTAAGCCTTGATAATACAATCTATCTAAAGATAATAATCTATGAGATAATGATTGCCAGACATATGATATCATAAGGGATACATATATATATATATATATATATATATATATATATACGATGAAAATGATTATTAATTCTCATCGGAATAATTTGAATATCGCAACAAAGTATCAATAAACTATGCTTTTTTTTTCTCAAATTAAAAATAATTTTTCTTTTCTTGAGAATAACTTTCCAATAAAAACAATCAAGGTCTTCAGAAATATTCTCATAAACATGGTTACTATTGAATTATTCATGATTATCATAAATAAAAATCGTCGGGTTGGTCCCGGATCCGACTCAGCAATTTATAGTCTAAATGTAACAGTCTATTACGATTGCTGATTATTTCAAGGTCATCGTCAAGATTGTCTGAAAAAATATGTAGCGTGTGTACTAAGAGATTATTAGACTCAAACTAAAAAGTTTAATCGACCAAATTCGAGTCTCTAAGCATATAAGTTCTCATACTAATGAAACTATTTGAATGATAGTATTTCATGTCAACTTAATAATGAATTAATAGAAGTGATCTATTAAAAATTATGCACGCAAAAGTTAATGAATAAGAATGTAAGATTACATTCAAAAATATAACTAAATCATGTAATAAACATTTATTTTTTTAGAGAAAATCTGTATAGGAAAGTTAATTTCATTAAATTATGTACATTAAAAAAAATATTAATTATGACAAATGAAATCATTTTATTATTATTTCTTACTTTGAGCTCGTTTTAATCGACGAAGTTCTTGTTCCGATAGATCTGTATGTACTTCTGTATATTCATTAGCTGTTGGTATTGTTGCTTGAATTTGACGAAGAGGATTTTTCGTACCTTGTTGTTGACGACGTGGTGGTCGAACACGAGCAGGTTGCGATTGTAATCTAGTGAAATTTCAAAAAAAAAAACAAAATATAAATTTTTTTTTTCTCTTTTTCTATTACCTGACAGCATTTTCAGCAATACGGTTAAGATCATCAGTATTTAATTGAACTGATGGTTGATTATTTAAATTTTTATTTGTATCAGCAAAAAAATCATCAAGATGATCATCAGGTTTTAATACAGATATTCGATCTGATTTTACGACCGAAATAACATTATTATTATTGATTGGCTTTTTTGATGCTATATAAAATTGTTTCATTTGAATATTTAAATTAATATATTACTTTTCTTGCTTTTTTCTTATATTCTTACTTATTTCATTGCTTTTTTTATTTGATGGAGATGTTTGAATTGTGTCCTTGTTTTTAACGATCGATTCTAAATATATGTAAAAAAAAAGAAGTCGAGGTGAACATCTGTGTGTATTTATCATGTGTTTCCAAGGATAAAAAAAAGAAAGAAAATCCTCAATAGAATAAATGATGTACTTGTCTTTTCGTCGTGCTGTTCAATAGAAACATCCTTGTCCACACATTGTCCCATAATACTCAAACTGTTCTTTTTTGCCTAGTAGTCGTTGTTATTTGTTATACAATGATAATGATGATAATAACAAAAGTAGTAATAATAATAATAAAGAATGTGTTTTGTCACATCTTCAAAAAAATGTAATCCACCTCTGAGTTTTTTTTTTTGTCAACAAATGATGACTTATAAATGTCTATATTCAAATAGTATCAATAGTAATTTTATGTCATCTTATCTTCTTTATCCGTAGATAGTTTATGAGAAAGAAATGATATGTATATTCGTAGTTAAACAAAAAGAATGTTGAGAGAGGAAAAAATGAGGGCTAAATCTGAAGATGTATATATGTATGTGCGCGTGTGTGTGTATGTATGTATGTATGCTTGGAAAAAGGGAAGAAGAAGAAGAAGAGTATGTTGTTGTCGACGGATAGAGCAAAAATGAGGATGAGAATGATGATGAGTAGTAGAGCGAGTATGCTTGTATAGAGTTCGATAGAAGAAGAAGAAGAAAAAAAGAAGAAAAAAGAGAGTGAAAAAGAGAATAACTTCTTTCTTTTTTTTTTTGTGTTCCTATGTTATTGTTTAGCTGTATAATTTAGTTATGCAAGAAACAACGCATTCATTTCTCATGAGATATAGACAGCAGACGTTCAGTTATCAGAAAACAAGATTTACCATACTATCTGTATCTTTTGGCAATAGGAAATGAATAACAAGAAATGATCATAAGATGTTTCTTACTGACGCAACACCTCATTCAAAGTCAGGAAGCACACGCCAATCGATCAACACGTCAATGCACAAATGCGGCTCAATTTAACTCAATGAGCGACATATATATATATATACATTCATATATAGAGTTAGATAAGTAGATGAGTGTGAAAATAGTAAATTACTGTGGATGCGCGGACAACTTTCATATCTATATATATATATATGTAGAACGACAACGAACATTAGTGGTACCATTGCACTACTAATGATGATGCAACACTTTAAGTATGGCACAAGTCACGCACAAAATGAGAGAGACAAAGAGCAAAAAAAAAGAAAGAAAAGAGGTCAACACATTTTTTTGTTCCTTCTGATAGAAAGCTATATATTATAAACGTAAGAAAGAAAATGAATAGGTTGATGTTAAATGATCGATAGTTATTTATTACTAACCAGTTTTCAGACGGACAACATCTACGGTTTTAGCACGTTGCTGTTGATCAGTATTGTTTTTTTTTGTATTGTATTTTAATGTTGGAGTTTTACGTGTACTCGTTGGCAATGGTTTTTGTTCATCTGTAAGTGTAGGAATTTTTCCTAAAGACAATTTGAAATTCAAAAAATAAAGCATTATTGTTTTTTTTTCTTAAATTATAAAGACATACCTGCTTGTCGAAGTTTTCCTTCAACAGTAAATTCATTTGCATCATTTATTGATTTAACACGTTTTTTCCATTCATTTTCACCGTATGTTTTTAATTGTTCGAGTCTTAAACAAAACAACAATATTACTTTACGTTTTCAATACAATATTTATTAAATTACATACCTTTTGCTCACCGGTATCATATTTTCTGCTTCCTCTGGACTCAACATATTTGTATCGTCTAAACAAATAAAAATCTCCACACATCAGTAAAGTCATAAGAAATATGAGAGAGCATCAAAAGATAACTATATCATATATAGAAGCAAAGGTGTTGACTAATGTTAAGATAAAACAAAAACATCAGCTAAAACATACCAATATTGTGCATAGATATATGTTTAACATGCTCTTCATCAAAACGGTTTTCTTGTAAAACATTTGTTCGAATGGTCGATTTTATTGGAAAAAAAATTTCTTCTAATGAAGAATTAATTGATAATGATAAAGAATTATCATGCATGAGGGGTTTATCATTCACTGTATAGGGATACAAAATAAAATATATATTTATATATGTATGCATAATATTTTTCTATCATTACCAAGAGGTTTTGTTGCTAATTGTTTTGCAGTTGATGTTGGTGATGGTTCAGGAGATAGATTTTCAGCTGCTTGAACTTCTTCAGCAGTTATTGGCTAAAATAACAAATGTAAATAAAATTTCTATCAGTTCTATATGTTAAATGTGAATAGACAGTTCTCTTTCTTTTTTCTTTGAATCACACTTCTCACCCACACACAACTGTCTCTGTACTATTATATTAGTCATAGATACAAAAAAAAATATATATATATATTGAATGTGATGAATATATAAAATTTTATATTCATGAATAAAATACCTGAGTAAGTCGATTACGATTAGTTTTTAATGATGATTGTAATGTTAATCCCATATTTTTCTTTTTATTGAATAGAATCATTTTTTCTCTAAATGTTAATTTTGATGTATCATCATCAAATACATCAGATTTATGTTCTACTGAAATATCATCAATTTCTGATGGAATTATATCTTCTGGTTTAGACTGTTGCTGTTGTTGTTGTTGTTGTTGTTTTTCATTATTGTATGTTTTTGATAATAATGGAGATTTGATTTCGCTGGATAAAAGTGAAGAACTACAATGAATTTATTGTTTTTGTCATTTTAGGATGAAAATAAAAAGAAGAAATGTTAGGTAATTACTTTTCCTGTTTAAACGATTTTGAACGTGTTAAACGAGGACTAAATTGGACATCTTTTGAAAATGTTTCAAATAAATTTCTTTTAGCAGCAACAGTCATTTTGTCATTAATTTCATTGTTTCTAAATTAAAAAAAAGTAAATTTCATTTCAATTCACTATCTGTCAAAACAATGAAAACAATATTGATTGGATGTTCAATTTCGTAGGAAAAATTTTAGGACTGATAATAAGCGACACCTAAATACTAATTAATGACATACTCAGTAGAATTCTTTTTTTCGGCATTATTATTAATTGGTTCAAATTGTTCCATGGATATATGTGTTCGTTTATTATATTCAATAGGTATATCAACCGATTTTGTTTTTGTTAAACGTTTAATTTCTGTGGGATTCATATTCGAAATGGAAGTTTGATTATTCGATAAAGCATGATCACTTTTTGATGTTGTTAATGATCGATAATAATCGGATTGTGGTTGATCAAATGTATGAAATTTTTGAAATGAACGTTTATAATCTTCAACTTTATATCGACTATTACGTTTTCGAATAATTTCCGAAAGACTACGTTGTTTGTCAATTGGTAAATGTATTGAACGATTTGTTGTTGATGTTGAAGTATCATTATTATCATCAATATCATGTTGCATTTTTTCAATAGAATCTTTCAATGGACGAGTTATTGATGCTGATGATGATGTTATTATTGTTTCATTTTGAAATTCATTTTCTATATCAAATCGATGAAGACGTTGAAATGCATTTGGAATAATTGTATTGGATGATGTTGTTGCTTTTTCATTTTTTAATGGAAAATTTTTTTGGATATTAACTGAAGAAAAAAATAATAATTTTGAAAGAAAAAGTTAGAAGAAGAAAAGAAAGTTAACTAAATAAATTTACCATCTGTAGGTTCAATAATCAGTAATTCTTGATTTGCAATAGATTGTTTTATATACTCTTCTTCATATGTAGGATTCCAATCTGTGTAAATTTTTGTTGGCATATCTATAGACAATAAAAAAAAAAGAGAAAGGTCGAAGAGCGATTAGTTTTTGTTGTATTGTTAATAGTCTAAAAGGAAAGAAGAAAAAAAAGCTACAATGACTCTATGTCGGGTACTAATTTGTGTCCGGCATATGGATGTTTTATGATTGTATGTCGTCGTTGAGTGTACGTGACAAGAGAAAGAAAAAAAAAGGAAAAAAAACTGAGGGTCACCATTCGCAGACACACTCAAAGTAGTTAAATTAGTTGATACTCTTGTGGATGAATTCATGTGCAAGTGATCAAGAATGACATACTTGACATTGACGGCTTATTTTATTCTTTTCATAGGTGACAAATCTCACCAAAGAAAAAGAAAAAAATCAAAGTGTCCTACTTTTAATATCAGTTCTTTGGCCTGTATTGATTTGAAGATCATTGATAACATCGTGATATGTATCCTCAATTATTGGTGATGAATGTATTTGATTAGGTTTCTGATAAATTAAATCATATTGTTTTGTAGTAGGTGTATTCGATGTTCGCGCATAAAATTGAGATTCACCAAACGATGATCCAGATTGTTGTTCTTTTTGCATTATGTTTCGTCCTTGTATTCTATTGTCTGTTGTTTTTGTGGATGATAATAGTTTAGAAAAACTTGATTCAACCAATATATTTTTTTGATCGATTGTAATCTCATTTTTACGTATAGAATTTGTAATTCCCGTACTCGTACCACTATTACCAATATCGTGGATAGATATTGCTCGTGCACTAATACAACGGTCTTTTTCCGGTGACGAAGAATCTATATCAAGAGAATCGTATGTATACTAATGATAAAACAACAGTTGATGTCGCAATAGCTATGACAAAGATGAAGAATGGAAAAAAACAAGAGAGGATGACAAAATTCTTTCGTCTATACATGATAGGATAACACCCGGGTAGAAGGGCAACGTATAACGCAAATAAATCAGTGCAAATATGCAAAAAAAAGGAATAATTTTCTAGGAGAATCGTCAGAGAAACGATGTTGACGAAAACATGAAGAGAAAGAGTCTAATAGAATTTATAACCAAGCGTAATATAATTTGTGCCATCAACTAATAGAAAAGAGAAATATAAGAAAAGTTATTCATTCACACATGTGCTGCCAAACATGTATATATATATACATATTTATTACAACGAATATTAATGCGCCATTTTCGTTATCTGTAGACTAGAAAATTCTATTGTTTATCCTTTCCAAGGTTTATTTTTCATCGTTTAGAAGATTGTTGTGGTTAGCATTTCTTTTTATAGTAATAGGCTGGTTATCGGCAATATCCTGAGAGCAAAAAAAACAAATAGAAGGCTAAAGATAAAAATAAATTATTTGTTTCAACGATCTGATTACAATGCTACAAAGTTAGATTTATTTCCATCAGCAAAAAATTTAGAGTTAATCAAGAAAACAAGTAAATGAATTAAATAATAAATAAATAAATAAATAAATAAATAAATGTGTTTCTAATTCTTTTATTTAGAACAAAATATACTTGTTATTGAAGTGTTTGATAGATATAGTTATGTTGACATAGCCTGAAGTGTTTTCTATGATGTTATCATTCTCATGTGAAAAACAACAAAAAGAAGTTTATGAATATTGAAATTCAGTTCATCATAATAATGAATAAGAATATTTCTTATTTACTGTTTCTATTATTGTATGTATATAATGTAGTGATGTTTGTCATACTGACTGAATCGTAATATTTCAATCCATCTTTGTCTTTTCTTATTGTTTTTTAGCTAATGATCTTCATATTTATGACACATAATTGCAACAAAACGTATGAAACTGCACAGAAATTTATATTCTCACTGTAAGAGTAAATATCATATGTATGACAGAGTTAGATGTATATAAGACGATGGATCTCTTGTTGAGATAACACTCAGGGATGAATGCCCTTTTTACAAAATGTTTGTGTAGGTGGTCTCAACTGTGCATGATATCTATCTATATATCCTCTAGTTAAATTCAACTATAAATAAATATAAAAAGAACAAGATGCTTACCATGCAGCGTTTTCTCTGATTTAAGGACATTTTTTGAGTCAGTACAAAGCCTAAATTAAAAAAGAAAAAAAAAATTTGTCAAATTTATATGGAATATATTTTTTTTATTCTATTTTTCTTTTTCTTAATTAAATAGAAATTTTTAATAAAAAAATAATACACAACTGTCATTAATATCATATATTTTTTGTCTTATTTATATATGTCAATATGAAACAAATGAATAAAAGAAGAATGTTAAAGGATATGACAAATCTAAATTTATTTAGTCATAGAATGACATCGTTCTATACATACCACGCCCCCATAATGAATCGATTGTAAGTTTTTTATTGGAAAGTAAAGAAGGATGATTTGCTACTGTTTAATTTGTGCAGACAATTTTACTTTGAATTGATCTGTTTTATTTAATCGAAATAGATGCGAAAGTGTATACATGTACATATGTTGGTTGGTCTATCATTTGATTGATTATAGGCAGTCGACAAAAGAGAAAAAAAACAATTATCGTGACTATATTCGTATGCTATTGATGCTATGCAATAAATGTGCAAAAAATATCAAGTCAAGAGGATACAAAGCAAGCAATCATATCATGAGAGAACTAGAACAGAAAATAGAAGAGAAAATATGAACAATGTATGCGACCAATAGTTCTATTCCTTTCTTGATTATATAAACTTGGTTGCATATAATGATGGGTGATGAAAGATAAAAATGACGAAGTAGCGAGAACCAACAACATATATGCATATATTACGATGTATATGATATATTTTTTTTTTGATAAACGTAATGCATTCATATCTCCATTATGAAAATGACCATGGTAGGTGGAGGAGTCGAGCACGAACATCATTTACATATATTAAACAAGTCGTTTTCTTTTCTCTCTATTTCTTCTTTCTTTTGTCAGTTTATTTGTATATTAATTCTCATTTAAGAACATTTCTCGTTTATATCATTGCTTAAAATGACTTGTTGAGCTTTCCTTCTTCACGTTAACTTCATTGATAAAATTACATAAATGTGAATATTAAGAACTACTCGATGATGTGATGTATTGATAAAGTTTTTATAATAATCTGGCACTAATTATCATATTGCGACGATGTCAAGCCGAGATAAATATACATATAGCCATAGTATTCATACATATGTAAATAGAAAACTCTGTGTTAAGTTTTTCGAAAACTTTTCATTCGACAAAAAAAAAGTCTAAAATACTAAGTAATTTCATATTATACGAGAATTGACGCGTTTAATTATTACAAGTCAAGATCTATTCTATTAATATAGAAACAATATGAAAGTTTTTATTCTATTTCATTTACGTCAATATTGTTACGTATGTATATATGTATATAAAGCAATTAACAAAGATTCAGGCATCATACTCGAACAAAGTTCTCTATTCTTATGTGATGAGCAGATGTGTATACTGATGAATAATAGAACAACAGTACATATCACAAAAAAAAATCGACCTAAATATTATTGTCTTCTCCATATAGTTATCAACAATTCTACTGATAGACTGTTGATTTTGTTTTGTTATTCTTGATTCTGTTATTAGTTGGGTTAGGACTGTACTGAGTCCCCCGCATCCGCCACAATGACTGTGACATTTTGGTAGGAGAACTTTTGAAATATGGGTACTGCTTTTTTTCTTCTTAACTTAACAAAATCTAGTACCCGTATCGGATACAGCCAGTGATACTAGTTATAATTGACCCGAAGACTCGGAAGGAGGGCAAAGATTGTACCGAAAATCAAAGCAATCTATATGACAATAGTGTAGGCTTTGGTCCATTCCTATCTTTGATTGACACTGATTGATATATGTAAGAATCACCATTGTTTATCAATAAAAAATAAGAGAAAAAAAATTTTTCCTGTATTTAAAGGTCATTTGTAGCTTATTGATTGTCACATCATCAAATTAGACCCACAATACATGAAAACAAGAAAAAACAAAGAAAGAAAACCTGAATCGAATAATAAACACTACATTTTTTTCTTCATTGATCTTATCTAAGACAAAATTTCTGATGAGATAAAAAATATTCATATATATATATAGGCAATAGAAAAACAAACGTTCGCACTCTGAAAGACTACACAATAACAAAAGAAAAATTTTGATGATGAAAAAGGAAAATGCACACAGTTTTTTAATAAAAAAAAAAAAAAAAAACTTTTTTTTTGTGTGTTTTGCTATTATATAAAACAGACATATAAATACTGATCAAATGTATATAACATTAAAAAAAAAAAAGAATAAATACAAATATAGTGAAAAAGACATTTTTGAGATGTGTGATGTGAAGACGCACTGTATTATTGTACATATTCATTCACCGTCCATTTGTCCTATAACGGAGAGAACACGAATTGATTTTGTACCACGATCAATTTGTGAACATCTATCTAGTTGACAGCAAAGTATGTGTATATGTGACATGACCAAGATTCATATCAATCAAACAAAAACCAAGCGCATCAATGTACAAACGATTATCGTGCAATCAAGCTGCAAATGCATAACATAGCGAAAGGTTAAAACAAAAATGAATTAAAAAACATGGCTTTATATGTATGTTTATATATATATATATATGTAGTTATCATGCATGCTTGGGCAACAATATTGAACTCAATTGAATATGACATTCATTAAGGGGAGGAGGGAAGGTGAGGAAGGCAGCATCGGGAAAGTAGAAATACAAAAACGAACAAGTATTAATGCGCATTACAAGCATATTGAACACAGCAGAAATAAAGCGGTAATAATTAAAAATGAGGATAAATAGGTCTAATTTGATGATGATAAAAATAGGTAAGTTAAAAAAAAAAGTTAATTAAAGTTGCTGTCAACTAGATATGATTTCTTTTTAATAAATGACGAATAAAAATTTAAATTAAATCTTACTTTCTAGGTTTTGGTATTCCACAAACTGAATCATCACTATCAAAATCGGCATTCAACGGTTTTGATAAAGCTCTTCGATTATTATTTTTTCCATTAAGATTTGATGCTCGATTATTAAATGTCATTGAATCTAATGATTTATAACGAAGTAAAGCAGCTCGATTAATACGTTCAATATTAGCTGTTGACATTGATGATGTCGATGATGATGATGATAGATTTCCATCTCCTCCTCCTATTAAATCACGACTTGTTGATCGTGGCTGTCGATTACATCTACTAGTTTCATTATGATTTGTTGATGGAAAAAAAGAATTATTATTATTTTGAGTTTTTGATGAACATTCTTGATATAGATCAGCACTTTTCGAACGTTTCATTTGTTTACGTCTTTGAAAACGGCGACGGTTTTGTTGTTGTTGTTGTTGTGGTGGTCCATTATTAAGTAGTTCATGTTGTGATCGTTCGACCTGTTTTGTACACATTGATCCTTGAGATTGTTGATGATTATTAGTTAACGAGGTATTGAGTTGTGTTGTTGATGAAATATATTCTCTTGGTCGATAATGGTATGAATTATGTGGTGGGGTATAATTATCGAATTGTTCATACTTATGATTATTATTATTATTATTAACTATTGTACCATTACCATTAGGATATGTTGAAGGAGAATATGGTTGCTAGAAGAAAAAAAAGAATATTGTTTTTATTTATTGAGAGAAAATGTTCATTTCAACAAAGAAAAATTTTCCAAATGACAAAGTTCTATTAGGATTGTGCAAATATTTACATAATCATAAAGAATTTTTGTAATAGAAAAAAAGTTCGAAAAATTTCTGTCATTTTTTTTATTTATTTTACCTTTCCAGAATAAAAATCTGCTTGTGTAGACGATCGATATTTTTGCTGAGGATTATTTATTGATGAAGCTAAACTAGTAGAACGTCCTGTATATAATGGAGTATTACTCTTGTTTAATAATCGACGTGGTGAATCTTGTGAAAGTGATTCTGATAATAATATTGATGATGATGGAGGTGTCGCATAAGACGAAGAATTTGATAAAGTTTGAGTTATATGTGAAGGAGGAGGAGGTGGTGGTGGTGGCGGTAGTGGTTGTAATGTTGAATATGCAGGATTCGGTACAAGAAAATCTGAATGACGAACATTAGGATGACGAATTGTACCATTAAGAGAGGCAGCTGACGATGATGTTGATGAATTAGTGGGAGTATTTCCCATACTATTAAGTATAGGACGTGTTTTTGATGGTACTGTTGTTGTTGTTGTTGCTTGTGAAGATAATGATTGATAAAGTGGACGAACCATATTTGTATTTATTGAATATGGTTCAACTTTGGCCACATTTTTTAAACGTGTTCTTGTCATTTGATCATGATCATTTAAACGACGAAAACGATATGCATCATATGAAACTTCAGATGATGGCATTACACTACTACTATTTGAATAATTGAGTGAGTCAGTACTAAAATATATACATATATATATATATATATATAAATATAGAAAAGTAAACAAATGCTGATTGTTTTTATCTAATATAACAAGATGGAAAACAAAAGAAATAGAATTATATAATAGAAGTAATTGTTTAGATTACTTGGTTAAGACATAAAGCAAAAAAGTAATAACAACAAAAACAACAACTGACATGTCTTTGAGCATGAATAATGTCAAATAAAAAATAAATCTCTCAATCTAACAACTGCACATAAAGAGAACGAGAAAGAGAAAGAGAGAGAAAGAAAATGTTTAGATTTGATCACACTCTCAAAAGATGTAGTGAATGAAGAGAACGAGCATATCTGTTTCTATTTATTTTTGATTTCTGTCTTATGTTCATTTTCTTTACTATCGGTCGACAAAAAAACGAAAAAGATAAAAGATCATGATATTGTTCATATATAGAACAAAGAGTTTTTGAAGGAAAGAAAATGAAGAAATGTACCTTATCTCTTATCTTTTTCTTTTTGTTTCGTTCTATGCAACGAATCTTCGGGGTCAGTTATGATAACTCCTAAATATTTTTTTCGTTCTCTCTCTCTCTTTCTTTCCTTGATTTATCGATGTATTGCTAGTACAGATGATTAAAAATCGATTTGAACATGTCCTCAATCATTACTAATCCGAAAATATTCGTTGATACTTTTGTTCATTCAAACCAATAGGAGACACTTGGTCATTCTATGTCAAGTATTTACGTATATATTGTGAACACAAAGCATGACACGTACATAGACATTTACATATATATATATATATATTTATATATATTGTTAAAATAGAATGAAATATGAGAAAATGTATTAACAATAGATGAGCGAAGAATGCTGATACAGATTTACACCATTGTCTCAACTGCAAAGAAAAAGAGAATTTGACCTTGTCTGTTTCTTCATATTTTATAGTAACTAACAATTGATTGATGAATACTTTTGATTGACTAATAGTTGTATATGCATGTTCAAGTTCAAGAGAGACACGATAAAAATTCATAGAACACTTCATTTTCTTTTTCTTTTTTTTTTTTTGTCGAAGTAATGTAGTTAGATTGATACCTATTTCATTTTCTTATTCAGAGAAAGAATATTAAAAAAAAAAAAGAAAAGGAAATTCTCAACATCAATTTAATTGCCTAGAGCCTTGTAACATAACTATTGAATTATAGAGTTCTACAGTTACTTTCAACACTATACTTCTGAATTTTCTTCTTTCTCCTACGTCGTCATTTGCTCCAATTTATTATTTTTTAGTATACAATGAAAGACGACAAGACCTTGTGCATGGTCATCGTCATGATATGTAACTTAATCAGTAGCAGTGTTGCTGGCGTTGAAAAACATGAACTTCGATGACAAATGATGACTGACGTATCATACGCAATAAATTATAGTTAAGAGCCACCAAGTAAATAGTAGGCGACATATTGATAATGGACAATGCATGTGGCTATGTCATTCAATTCTTATAATATAAGACAGTTATAGTACTTGATCTAACTGTCAATCAAATAGATAAATTTATCTTTTCTTCTTTTTTTTTCTTTCTCGTTGTCACTTTTATCATTTTTATATTTATTGATAAGACAAAATGATTATTACGTACATACCTATCAAAAGCTTTTTGACTTTTAAGTATAGGTCTTTTTAATAATGGTGAAGATGTTGATACACCTTCTTGATTAATTGTTTTTGGTTTAATTAAATCATCACTTGGTATATTATGTATTTGTGATTCAATTGATTTTGAATTAGGAACTTTTTGAACAAGTGAAGATGATAATGATAATACATCTGATTTATTTACACTTGTTCCATGTGTATTTAAATTTCGATTAAGATTTGATTCAATTGAATTTATTTTTTGTTGTTTACTTATTGGTGAATTTATTAAATCAAGTGATGATGATTTTGTATTAAATAATTGTTTAAGTTTTTCAACACATGAACCAGTTGTAATTGATGAAGAATTTTCATGAATATCATCATCATCTTCATCATTATTATTTTTGGTTCCAATTGAATTTTTATTTTGATCATGTAATGTTTGATAAGATTCTTTTTCCTGTTGTGGATTAACATTTGTATATGGTGAAGGAGATCGAACAGGAAACGTAGGTGTTGTTGGTGGTGGTGGTATAATTGAAGCAGAATTATCATTTTGTAAACGCAAGTCCCATTCAGATTTACTTATTGCTGCACAAACTCTTTTTGTACCAGTTGTAATTAATGGTTGATAAGTAATTGCATTTTCAGTTGGTATAATTGATGATGTCGGCGGAGCATATGGTTCAATTTCAATAGTTAATGGTTCAGTTTTTGTCAATGGAACATTAAAATCAGTACGTAATGTTGGTGCTGTATATTTAAGAATTGATCGAATTGAAGAATTTGTTTTATTTGATGATGATGGTGATGGTTCCGGTTCATCAATTGCTTGTTGATGTTGAAGACGATGTGTTGATGATTGTTTTACTGAATTTTTATCATTATGTACTAAATTTGATGTTAACTGTGATAAATGTGTGCATGATAATGAAGAAAGATTTAATGGTAATGATGATTTTGCTTTTTGAGGAACTTCTTGAAATGCTGCTCGTCGATTATTTTCAAGTGAACGACGATTTTGTATACCAACAATATTTGCACCTACGGGATCATAACGACGAATTAAACGAAGTACATTTGAATCCGTCATTATTGTTGAATTATGATTATTGCCATCTTCACCAGCTGATGATGAAGAAGGCATTCTTCTAGATCCATTATCATCATCCTAAAATATATAGATATCTATATATACAAATAAATTATAACCTTGAATGAGTTGTAAGAATGTGTATGATGCATGTCGCGTGGTAGTATGCTTTATACTCAATAGCATATGGAACAAAGAAGAGACTAGAAAGAATCTTGTTCGTCCATCTGTCTTCTTTTTTTCACACGACAAATAACTTTGCATCGATAAGCAACAGAGAAAAAAAAACGAGAGAATGTAAAAGAGAATAGCATAAAGAGAAAAGAAAAGAAGACGAAGAAGACAAGAATTCTAAGTATCTTACATATACATATATAGATTGTTATAATGATTAGACACATGCACATCCAACAGAGTATAGTACCAATAGTTGTCGAAAGCAAGAAGCAAAAGCGCCCCACTATCATCATTATTCATTATCATATTGTCCTTTTGCTCGCATCTGTAAAAAGTATAGTTGTTGAAAGAACAAGCTCGGTATTGCGTCCCTGAACTGTTTGAGCTTTCTTGTCGACTATATACTCAATGATGTCTTATAGAACAAATAGAAATAAGGCCAAGAAAAAAAAAACTCAAGCAGAACAAAAAAAGACATAGACATACAAAAAGAAATAAGAAAAGTTTAATAAATTTTTTTTTTAAATTTACCGTTAGAATAAATGATAATGGAACTTTATTTCCAGTTTTTGTGATTATTAGTGGTTTAACTTGTTGTGATTGTTTTGGAACGTAACGATAACCTATCTGACTCTCGTTTGTTTTATTAGAAGTCAAAATAGTATTATTTTTAATATTATTATTATTATTATTATTTTTCTCAGTTTTTATCACTTGAATTGGTACAGAAACAGTACCCACATTTGCCGATGTTGTAGATGAAGAAGGAGAAGAAGAAGATAATGATGATGTTATCACAGTACTAACAACTATTGGTGTATTATTACTAGTAATATTGACAGGAATCGAGCGACGCAATTGTTTCTAGAATTATATACAGTCAATGAATAAAAACAATGTCTATATACTATATGTATTTTTATACATATATATATACCTGATCAAAAGAAATATTATTCATAGGTGATGGAGATTTTTTCTTAATAATAACCATTGGTGAAGCTGAAGATATTGTTGAAAATCTTCGACGTCCATTTGTAATCAATGGACGAAAATCCATTTGTTTAGTTTGAATATTTTTTGATAATGGTGAATGAAAACATGTTGAAGAAATATTTGGAGATGTTAAAGGTTTTTGTATAATGGGTTTATCATATGCTTGATTACTCACTGAACAACGTACAGTAGGTTCTGGTGCAGTTATATGTGTTATTGTATATCGTCGTTTTAATCGTTCTTCTTTTTCAATTGGTATAGATTTTGTTTTTTTCATTATCGATAAATTATCACAATCAGATCTTGAGGTTGATGAATATAATTTATTCGACAGATCATATGTACTATTCAATGAATTTGTATTATTTCTCATAATAATTTTAGGTTGTTGTTGAAAATTGATCATCAAATGATCATAGATAGTAGACGATGATGATGTTGGTGACATATTGATTGTAGAAATCTATAAAAAATACGAGAACTCAAATAGTGGAATGTGACTGACAACGACAATTATGAAGTAGAAAAAAAAAGTGGCAACACTCGTTGATGTCGTCTCTATTTGACTTTACTGATATTTAAAGTCATCATCACACATGAAGAACGAAAAATGGACGAGCAAAGTAGAGTGAGCAAAAAAAGGAAGAAAAAAGAGGATGTATATATATATGCACATGCACATAAGCATACTTCCCTTCAGGCAAAAAACGGTGCCAGAATAGCATTACTCTATTGTTAAACTGTTCGATTTAGTTAAAATTTTATCCGCTTAAATGGCTATACTACTATTGAATGTTATTATTTGCCTGCGAATATCTTTCTTTTCTATGAAGCTTAGCAATAGGAATATACACACAAGTATTGAAAAAGGAAAGGTAAAATGAAGAACAAAAAATGGGCTAAGAGTCACAAATTGAAAGACAATACACTGACACACGATAAAAGAGCGAGAAACAGTCACACAAAATCAACATACATATGCATACGATGAGAGTCTTACTTAGTCAAATTGAATTGATGAGAAATATTTAATGTATTCATTTAGAAACGACGACTGTAATTATTATTATTTAATGATTTTAATCTAGCAGATGATAAAATATAAAATAAAACAGGTGTTCAAACACTTTTTTCTTTTTTTTTTTGTTTCGAGATTGAATGTTATGTAAAAACAAAAGAAAACAAGAGATGAAACGAGTAAGAGAATTCATTCGGCAGCAACATCTTAAAAGGGATTAGTCGAATGATAGGTTTACTATAATGTACTATACAATCAATATGAATAGCAAACTGCTTAGAAAGGGAGAAAGAAGAGGAATATATCCTTCGTGTGCACATTTACTACCTACGCATGTCAATGTTGTAACATAGGTCCTCCAACTTAAATTCAATTTATATCAAAACGACAAGATGATGTAGGCGTATGTATATGTTATATACGCTGTATGTGTCTTGATCAACAAATTAATATTTTTCTTTTTCTTCTTCGATTTGCAGTTTCATTTTACAGACAGAGAAGATTACACGATTATTTTAATCAATGTCACATGAAACTAAACAATGCATGAAAAATTACAACACATCTATATATTAGAGAAATTTTTCTAATAAGATTTTTATGTGATGATAAATGATAAGAATTGACATGTTACTTTCTCTCTCCCTCTCTCTCATTTATGCCTACATGATAACCTTGGATTGTTAAAGATAAAAATAATACCTTGGAGTTTATCGAACCGAATCACGAATGCATCTGTAGTTTTGCTTCATGACCATCGGTTATATAGAAAGTTACTTTTTTTTCTCCTATTGTCTTGTAATATGAAATTGTTAACTAACATTCTAATTCAAGAAAAGGAAACGTCCTTCAAAGAGAAAAAAAAGATTTCACAGCATGTAAGTAGACATATAAATAATTTAGATCGTATGCCACCTTCTTGTTTAGAATGGTTAATGAGATAACAAACTCATTTGATTACTCTATTCTTCATTCAGTTCTTACTTACACTTGTATGTATTGTCTATTGACATGACATTTGGTTGCATGACAATGTACAGCTACTGCATTACTATTGCTTATACATTGTCGACTCTCTCATGATTGTAATTACTAGTAATGGTATATTTATGAAGAAGAGAAGTATATAATACCTGTATATCAATTAGTATTCTGATAGATATGAATAGCACTAACCTATATTGTATAGAGATAGTAGAGTATGTGATGAAGGGTTATCGACGACGAGGTCGAGCAAAAGATATATATTTTGTTGAGTTGCTATTTAGGTTGGCATCGTTTTCTCATCTTCTTTTTCTCATTGCAACAAGCGATGAATGAATCAATCATGCGCGTAATAAGAATACATATATATTCTCGAACGCAAGCGAAATTATATATGCGCAAGATGAAAGTTGGTCAAAATAGCAACAAATAAAAAGACGCATGTCCAAGTATTATATTAGACTGTTTCTCATTTACACTTTATTAATGTTCTTCTTACTTGTTGTAATGGTCGGATAGGCAAGTCATCAAATCACTAGTCTATTTATGATCGGTAAATGTCTCGATTCTCTTTTCTTTTCAATAAATCTTCATGTATTATCATGTAACAACTCAAGGATTGATCAGTGTCGTGTACATAAATCAACCTCAATGCCTAACAATTTCGTCTCGTCTATGTCTTCACTATTATACTTTACTCCTTTTCATTTGTATCGATGATAGACCATGTATATGTTCATTCACTTTTTTCCTTATCGGTGACGTGAACACATATATATACAAAGTATCATACATACGTGCGACGAGCGAAAGAAAGAGACAGCAAGCGAATGCATGTTATAACAGAAAGTGAGAAGGTCTAATCAATAGGGTTTGTAGTAAACGACGAAGGTGCTGAATGACCTTCCCTTGTACAGATTCCATTTATAGGCAGGCGCAAAAAACGAGAAGATGATTGGCATCTCTCACACATAGGGTATGTCATGAGGATTACGCAAGTGATGTGTCGTCGGCACACAAGTGTTGATGAAGAAATATACATATATACGGATGATGTGCTGTTCTTGATAAACGAACATATGTGCACAGGGTTTTTTACAATCCAATCTGATCTGTTACAAGGTTAACTTAATAATAACTTTCATCAAAACTTATCGATCTGATACAATAGTCTCGTTTTTTTTATTTATTGTTCAATAATTTATTACATGCTCATTACTTACTTATAAAACTTCTGTGAATATACATATATATATATGTGTGTGTCTATTTCTTTTCTTTTTAACATTTAGATTTAATACATAATCATATTCCACTGTAATTATTTGATATATTCTTTGAACGATTTATTTTTTAGTTCATAGAGCTATAATTTATCAAGAGGAGGCTTTGATCAATATTATTCAAGCATCACTTGTTATCTAACATCACTTTATGGATCAATAAGATCGTATATAAAAAAAGGAAATGTAGATGTATGTAGTAGTATTTAACTAGATTCACATATGGATTTATTCTTTTCAATGATTAGAACCATTATTAATCATTTTACTATTCTCTAAATCGACTCAATTTAACTTACAAATACAATAACTTGATTTATTGTATCATTCAATTTTTAATTCATAAATAGTTCACTTATTTGACTATTATAATTAAGATATTGATTTTAATATCGATTGACTCTTTAATTGATGATAAAAATTCTATCAAAAGAAATCGTGATAGTCCTTGAATGAGAAAAAGAATGCAAATACCTCGATATCTTTTGTTTGAAGAGTGTAAAATAACTGATAGAGTGCCTGGCTCAAGTGAGTCATCAAATAAATTATATGATGTTGCAAATAACTGAAACAATGTGATCTGATAAATATAACTCTTAATAAGATGAAGAAAAATAAGAACACAAAAGAAATTCTCTGTAAAACGAAAGATAAAATAGAAATATTTATTGAGAATAAAAAAAATGATTTTATGATTCTCTTTTTTATTTCTTTCTATTTTTATCCCACGTTCCAATTCATTAAGTCCTTCGTATTTCAACACATGAACAAAATGATTTGAACACTTTGATAAGATGTCATTTTTAATCACACGCATGAATAGTTCTCTTACAAATTGAACAATTTAACAAGTCGATTGGATAAAGCAATACTAATTTTGTACCATTCAATTTTTTTTACTGTAGTATGTGCTACAGTCTTCATCTGCTTAGAGTATGAATCAAATTGAAAAATTTTATACCAAAAGAACATCTAATTATTGCTTGAAATTGTAATATGACTATTTTTATGAACATTATCGTTATCTGCATGTCCATCATAAAAAAAACGGTATATTCAATGAGATATTGTGCTTGCTTTGTGACGAAACATGAGTAAAGATGAGATGTTATTCTTTGCATTTTAAATATACTAGAGTTGAGATTCACACTTTTCAATATTCATTTCAATCTTTCCCAATAACATCATATATTCTGTTTGATAATTAGAAAATACAGTCGTAAACAATAAAGAAACAAATTTCTTTGATTTTATTTTAGAATAAATTGTACCATGCGAGAGAGAAGTACGATAACTGAATAAATTTCAAATCAAACACTTGATCATTTAATAAAATAAACTTTTCGATTTAGACATAAAGCCAAATGTAAATATAGACACAAAAAATCATTCGTGAAAGTAAGGCCTACAGTTTACATCATCGATTTGTTTGTTCCAGTTCACTTATTATCAATCAATTTATTTCAAACATTTTTAGAAATATTATCTGAATTTATGCTTCAATGGAAGTTCTTTGCTAAGAGCACATAGACCTTGAGAAACATTCATATTTCAATGCTATTCGTCTGATTCTTTACCACATAACTTTCATTTTTTTAATGTCAAATACAAAAGTAGTATTGTTCGTTAGCTGTTGTGATAAATCATCCTTGATGATTAATAAGCGTATTATATTTTAGGTAGCCGAGAAATACGAAACCTATTTTGTTATTGAACATAGTAAGTAATAATGTAAGTAAATAAACAAGTTTGTCGATGAAAATTGATGCATTGCAAACGAATTTTTATCAACAAAGAATATGTCAAAGTCATTTTTATTTGACGATCATTGAAGTGCTTTGTTGTCAATAAAAGAGATTTTATCAAATGATTAATAAGGATACATATAAAAATATTTTTTTTTTATAATTCATAAAGTTCGAACACTCTCAATGACAAGAGCTAAAACTCGACATCTGTTAATGACTGATAAAATATTCTGGAAATCAAATCATTAATAATTATCAGAAAAAAACCGATAGTCAATTCAAGTTACTAAAACTTCAATGATTTCGGAAGACCTTTCTTATTTTCTTTCCAAAAACTTAGAAAGAAGTCATCTGACAAACAATCTATCTTGTTCAGTATCATATTTCATCTGATATCATCTTAACTATCAAGACT